CTATTTCTTTTCATGTCTGCAAATTCCAATTTCTAAAGCAGAAACCTCATTTGATACTTTTCTCAGAAAGCCTAAGAGTCTCTCACATTCAGTCTCAATCAATCAAGAGAGAGCTTCAAAATCTTTCCTTTAACCACTGAGAAAGACCATGAAGTTTGAAGCTTTGTCCCATCAGAGTTGGTGAAGCAGCTCTGCTTGAGGAAACGACCCATTTGACGGTAAGTCGAGAAGAAGGAGATCTTGATCAGAACTGCAATTACCTTCATAGCCAAACATCGCAGAGCCACTTTCTTGCGCAAACGCAGAAGCTAAGCTTCTTGGGTTAAAGCAAGAGACATTGTTCTCTGTCATCACTTTGCTTTCATGGCTCTTCGTTATGCTTTTCGGGCTCCTCATAAGCCCTCTTGACTCTATAACCAAAACATGAAAATCAAGAAACACACAAAGATTGATCACAGAATCAACAAGACCAATGAAAACGTCCTTAAGACTGACCTGACTTTAATGGAGTTTGGTTTTCATATCGTCTCTTAATGGTTACAATATTCTTATGTACATTTGGGTTTGAGCTTCTTGAAGTTGTAGTAACAGATTCTCCTGTCCCTTTTTCTCGTTCCTGCAACAATGTATCCATGAACCTCTAGCCAAATGTTGTTATTATTATGTTAGTGTATCGATAAGAGTAAGCCGAACCTTTAAGAGGTTATAGCTTTCCACCAAACGGGATTTGTTGAAATCAGACAAAGCAAGCTTCTTAAAAGTCCTGATGTCTTCGAGTTTTGCCTCAGAGGAAGAAGACAAGTCAAAGACACCATCCGCAATAAGTTTCTGAAACAAAGTGAAGTTCTCTTTGAACTGAGCACTTTCGAACATCGTTCTGAGGCTGCAAAAGAAAAACATGAAAGATTAACATTTTGTTCGGTCTGGTTCCGTTGTTTTTATAAAATGCATTGCAGTTCCAACCTATCAGGAAGGTTTACAGAGTCAATCTGAGGAAGTAATTTCATCAGTTTCTTCTGTTCTTCCTCTGTGAATTGTTCTATGAACTCATCAAAGTTGAAAACATCCTGCAAAGTTGAAAGTATATTTTTCAAAGCAAATTTTCACAAAGTCTTTAATTTGAGACTTTGAACAGAATTAGTGAGAGTTGCTTTAGACTTACCTTCAAATCTATGCTACAGAGTGGTGAGCTATGGCTCCCAAGGACATGCACTCTTCCAATTTGAGAGTTGGTCCTACCAACAATAAGAAAGATACTCCATTTATTATCTTTCTCGAGTAAAATGTGAGCTCTTGAGTTGTTTTATTGAGAATGTTTTACCTCTTGAGTTGCTCTTGCTTTATTGCTTGTCCAACAGACTCAGAACCTCTCCCCGCTCCAATCTCAACACGCTTCACGGAATGTGAGTATGCCTCACTGATGNAGGATTTGTTCTCAAGCGAAGAGAACGAGCTGGCTTCAGACTCCTCTTCCCGAGCAAACGAGTGAGGATTCCTCATGAGAACACTCCCATGTCCAATCTCAACAGAGACCATTGACATTTCATTCTCAAAAAGAAGATCTTCCTCCGATGTAACTGAGAGACAAGACGATTGCTGCTCTTGTAGAATACTGTAAAGGTCTTTGGTGAGCTTCTCAACGGAAGAGGACTTAGGACGGCCTACACACGTCCTCCTCTTGCTAGGAACAGTCGTGTCCCACGCGTTTGACTGAGATGGACCTGAAAAACCAAGTTCACATAGATACTAAGGAACCAAATTGATGCTTTAAACCAAAGAACAATGAAGTAAACAAACCTGTTAACTCACTCATATCGGCACTGCTAAACTGTGCACAGCTCTCGGAGTTCGATACAGCCGAACCAGAACTCGATCTATTACTAGCATCCTCTTCTACCACAGCCATCTTCGAACCAATATTGAATTCCAAGACAGGTCTTTTAATGGTGAAGTTCTCTTGAATTGCTTTCCTCTTGAGCATCTTTGGCTCTTTGTTCTTGTTACTTACAGAAATGATCTTCATTCTTTGATACCTCTGATGATCCTCGTTCTCTTCACCATCAGCACGAGCATGAAGCGGAGTGTAGTTCACAAGAGTTCCTTTTGTTCTCCAACGCGATCCACACGCATTGCACAATACTGGCTTCTCTGGTGGCCCGTTCCGCCACAGAGGTGTGCCTGTTCCAATGCAAGAACAAAATGTCACATAATTTTCCAAATCGAAACTTTGAAATTCAGACTCCAAAGCAATCACACATTTGCATTTTCATATCCAGGAAGAACAATGATCACTATTACCATACATCATGAAGTCTTAAACATCAACAATAACAAAATTTAAACACTTCTCTACCACAATTGAGAATCATAAACACAAATTCAGATCGCAAGATTGTGTTTTTGTTGCCTAATCCATTGATTCCAATCAGAGTGAGAGCAACAACAACACAAACAGAGACAAAGCAATGTTCTTAAGATCATTGAACAAAAACAAAACCAAATATATATAATTCCCAAATGTTCATTTATGTTGTTGAAGTCCAGGAAGTATTTGCTGTATCTCTTCAATAATTAAAGAAAAAGCTGTAATCAAATCATTTTCCCAGAAAAAGTGCATCTCAATCAAATGAAACAAAAAAAAGTGAATGATTCATACAAATTTCTCTCATTATCAAATCGAAATTGGAGATACAAGAACTCACTTGTAGCTCCACAGTGATAACAAGGTCCTTGCTTCCCCATAATCTCTCTCTCTTATCTTTTTTGTTCTTTTCAAAATGAAAAATACAATTTTCAGAGTAAAGTTGCAATTTTTATAGACAAAAACAAGAGATTTTTTGGAAAGAAATTCAAGTTTAAGAATTTGGTTTAATATTGAGCTATAAATGGAATTATACAAACTGATGTATTAACTATTAAGAGACTTCTCTCTGCAAAAGAAAAAAACCCAGAAAAAAAAGAAGAGTCTTTTCTGCATAAGAAAGAACCCAGAAAAAGTCCTATGAGAAAGAATATACAGAAACCAAAACAGTTTCTGTAAATTAAAAAAAAAAAAAATCAAACAAAGGTTGAGAATTTTTTTTTCTAAGAAGATAAATTTGTTATCTTTTGTTTCTCTTTTTTCTTAGGTTCCTTGAGCTATCAGTCTAATGCAATAATCCAATAGAAAAGAGAAGAGAGACTATTGAGAGAGAGAGGATTCTAATAAATGGCTGTGAAAA